AATATAAAATGGGAGAGGGATTTTTCACCTTTATTTTTAGCTTTTCTCATGTCCTAGCAAATATATGAGTGGAAATGGTGGCTTACAAGAGGATGTCTCACCTAAGCTGGATGTGGCCATTGTATGTAAGGCCCTGGGAATGTCAGCACTGCCATGGGGAAGTCTGCCCTGGCACAGGAACAATCCCAGCTTGCTCTAGCATTGATATTGCAATGCCTTGAACAGTTGACACTAAGGTTGGACACAGCTTGCCCATCTCCAACCTATCCTTTCTTTTACAGGTTGCTGATCTTTCAGGTGTGTTCCTTGCTTCCATAACTGCATAGTAAGGACATGAGCCAAGGAAAGGCAAAGGCAGAAGTTAAACTGGCTCAAATCACTGTTACAAGGTGATGAGATTTAGGGTAGAAATATATGTATGGTTACTTGTTKCTTCCCTCTTCCCTCTCCAGTTTGAATACCTTCTTGATGCAGTAAGGAAAGAGGACTTTTAGAAGATATTGGTTCATATATCACTGTCTGGTATCCCAAGTATGGAAGAGCTGTCAGCTCCTACAACTGGATGTTATCAAAAAAAAAAAAAAAAACCCACAAAAAAACAGAATTTCACAGGTTTGAGCTGTGCTTCTAGGGACAGTCTTGGACATCACACTTTCATCTCCCATTGGAATTCACATGCAGGGCAAGAATTCTGGAGCCAAKCTGGTCAGATGGAGGACCAACCGAGGGATGGGAGTCTGCACATAGACCTCTCTGCCRGAGCCTGCACATGGCACAGCACTAAAGAGGCCAAGGTGGAATAGTTCTCCTTCCCCTCTTCAAGCCAGACAGTGAATTTCCAGAAGGGCTTTTCTCAAAACCACCTCTCCGYGCTGGGCACCACGCTGTGGCTTGCTGATGGATGGCCAGGCTGGGAGCAGTGGCCTCGCTCGTCTGGAACGTGGTGCCCCAGACATGAGTCTTGCTGGCACGGGGATTTATTGCGTCCCCCGGCTGGCCTGCACATTCCTCCCTGCCCACCGAGCAGCAATTACAGACACGGCAGAGGTGAAATGTTCACTCCCTGAGGGGCTGGTAGTGTACGCGCTGTGCGGCGCTGCTGCTTGCCAGCTGGCCGGGAGCAGCAGAAATGCTGCCCAGGAAACAGGAGCGCTGCCCAAATGGGTTAGGAGGCAGTCTCCAAGAATAAGATGCGGCATGAGCCTGGGGTCAGGAAAAAATCCAGTAGAAATCTATAACTCAGCCCTTAATAAATAGTCCTGTAAGCTCTGGCAAATGCATATGGGACTTCTTGGTTCRGGTTTACTCCAAAGGTTCCTGTAATGCCCAGAGGGTTGCAATTTATGGCACAGCTACCAGCTGCTGGAGCTGATATGGGTCTCCARCTGGTGGGGCCTCCTGCACTCTCCAATGCTCTGGCTAGGTTGTGTTCCAGCAGCCTGGAGCCCTGGTTTGTGTATTTATAGGTGCAAAGATTAAAGATTTATCTGGAGCACTGTAGGGATTGTCTGGTCCCTCACTAAGCCCATCATGGTAGCCCAACATGCAACAGGAGCTGGGAAAGTCCATGCTAGAAGGTCTATGGTAGACCTGGAAGATGGATTAGCAAAACCCTTTCATTAATTGGTGAGCTTAGGAGTCCATTGCCAGCTGTGCCTCCTTCATGATTTGGATGTTCTCATGGTACCTTTGGTTTTACCCCACTGTTCCCACAGCCTGCGATGCCTTCATCTCTTCAACATGAACTTTAACTTTTCCATACCCCTTCCTTTAAGGCTCAGCGCAGTTCACAGGGAGATTCATCATTTACAAGGAGCTGGTCCTAATTAATGACAAGGATGACCCTGAAGTCCTTCAGGATCCATCTCAGTCTTAAACAATGAGTGGGACCAAGAGAACAGCTCTTGTGGGACCTGCTCATTCCCAGTGCTCCCTTTGAGTTGTCCCCTTTCCTTGCAGGCACCTGCTGCTGGTCATGGGGAGACCCTGGCTCTGCTCCAGCTTTGCCTTTTGGGCTCTCTTGGACAGATTATGTGTGAAATTTTGGCCCTCTTCAGCCCATCGGCTGGTGTGTAAGCGCAGTGATTCGTCCCTTCTTCTTTCCCTCGATGGTCATTTAAAGGAGATCTTGCCGGCGCTGCTGCTGCATCCAGCCCAACGCGTGTGCTCCTTGGCTCCCGGCGAGATCCTCCCTGCAGATAGCGTCTGCTTTGGCAGACAGGCCAGTCTAGGCTGCAGGATATTACGCCTGGCAGGGACGCAAGCCGCATCCAGTTCCTGGAATTCCGATTGTCTCGCGGAGCGCTGATTAGGCAGCGCTTTCGACCTGCACCCAAGACAAAAGCATCTCCCTGCCTGCGAGCAGGAGCCTTGCAAGCTCGGCTCCCTTTGCGGCAGCAGGTTTGCGCTCTCCAGACCCTTCAGTCTAACGCTCATCAAACTGGGAAACAAAAGCTGTCTTCTCCACTGCAAAAATGCCCAGTTCACCCTGCTGGAGGAGCATTGACTTCTCAGGGCTGTCTTCTGTGCAAAAATAAATCTTTTTTTTTTTTTTAAATTCCCCATAAGACAGCCCCAAAGCCCTTCCTACGCTGTGTGCACTCTGCGCTGAGGTCAGATGTGCAGGTAAATGTCTGGCAGCTGCCCGGGACAAGAGCCCAGCGGAGGATGTGGAGCTTGCGGCTTGGTGCCCCCGCCGCCGCTCCCGCCTCCCTGCCCAGCTGCTGGGACCAGAACGTCCTTCCAGTAAGGAGGGATTTGATGGATGAGAGGCAGATTCTCTTTTAATTTACAGTAAATGCCGCGTTCTCCTTTCACGCAGCGCAGCAGGCAGCCCTGCAGGCGCGGGGCCAGGAGCAGCACAGCCCGTGGCCCGCGGAGAGCCTTGGTGGCCCCGGCCGCCAGTGTCAAGGCTGGGGTTTTGGGAGGAGCTGGAGGAAGCCCAGGCTCAGTGGGGCTCCGCCGAGCTCCCATGCTGGCAGCCAAGCACAAACTGGCATGAACCAAAGCTGCCTTTTGCCYGGACGGCTTCGGGGCACATGCAGGTCTCACGTGTCCAGGTGGCCCTTCCAGGCAATGATGATGGTGGGAACAGCCACCAGGGACTTCAGGGACCCCCATGAGGGGTCACAGGCTCCTGGGGCCACCCGCCGTGTCCCCAGAACCATCTCCCCCGATGTTCACCCCGAGGACAGATTTGCAGGAAGGGTTTTGCTGTCTCCTCTTTGGCATGATCATTATTCCAGCCGCCGGGACCGGGGTGGATGAAAATATCCCTCCGCCACATGTCTCCAGCCGTTCCCCGAGGCCCCTAGCAGCTTGATCCACTTTATGGGAGAGCYGATTCCAGGAAAGCTTGAGCGCTGGCAACAATGTGCTCAGGGGAATATTCCAGCCGAGTCTTGAAGGAGGACGTTGAGGCTGCATTGAGGTAACATCTCCGCTCACAGCCGGGGTGTTATTTATGCTCCATGCTTGGATCTAGCCCTCACGGTCCTGTTTTTGTGCTGCAGCTTTGGTGGAGTTGCTGGTGTTATTCAGACTCAGTTATTGGCCATCKTCTGCCCTTGCTGTAGAAGGCTTGGACTTAGCCCTAAACCTCATCTTTACCCCTGGGAGACACCCCCAGAATCATCTTCCCCAGGTCTACCTGGGAGCATGAGGAGCCGTGACAGGCCCTGCTGTGGTGCTGCCTTCTGCTGCTGCGGTGCCTTTCCGTGCTCTCCCCGCCACGGGACACAAGAAATGCGGCTCCCCTTGGTGTCTTTGCCACGACCCTGGTGCTCCGGCTGTGCAGGACGGGCATCCCTCCCGGGGAGGTGCCAAGCCCCGCRCCAGGGACACGGGGCTGCTGCGGACGCCCACGGTGCTGCAGCCTCCGCTCCCGTCGTGCTGGGCTCCGGCTCCCTGCTCTGCTCTCAGCACCTCAGTCGCAGTGTCTTCACCGAGGTCAGGACAGGGCGTTTGTCCCCAGAGCTCCCCAAGGAGCCCAACGCTCCGCTCGCAACRTCCGCGCGCAGCGGGAGCAGGGGCGATGGGACGGGCATTGCAAGCAGGCCTCCAGCCTGCCAGCCCGGCATTCCTGCGCCCTGTAACACCCAGCCAGTCCCCAGGGATCAGGGCTGCTCAGGACGTGATAGGAAAATACACTTGATGCTGCAGGACTGTCTACAGCTTGCAGACTTGTGCAGCKATTTCCTCCCCTGGGACACGAGACCTGGACATCTGCTGGGCTGCCCTGGAGAGCACCGGGGCTCTGCATGGACAGCGCTGTTGTCCCCTCCTGCGATGCCCCGGCAGGTCTGTGGTGGGGATGGAGTGGAGCCCAACGGGGGCTGCAGCGAGCCCTGCTCCATGGGAAACAGCACCCAGCCTGGGCACACGGCTGCGCTGCAAGCGGGGAGCACTATGGGGCCGGGGACACCACGAGACACCGGGCGGATGTCGGTGGCTCCATGCCTAGCCACCCAAGGGAACCACAACCAAGGGGAGGGAGATCTCCGATCTCCGCTGCCTGCTGCAGCCTGCCCCAAGCCGGGCTTGCCCTGGGGCTCCCTCCTAGCAGCCAGCACCACAGCCGCCTTCCTGCGGCAACATCCCCCCCGTGCCCCCTCTCGCAGCCCTGAGCAAGCCCCCAGCGCGGGTGTCCTTCACGAGACCCCAATGTGGGTGTGCTTAGCAAGACCCCAGCGCGGGTGAGCGCAGTGGGAAGCGACACCTCRGGCACCATCTCCCCCGCACAGCCCCGGTGGCCGCTCCGCTGCCCGCCGAGCATCCCGCAGCCTCCCGGCCGCCCCGCGCGCGCTCCACGGTGCCGGGGGCTGCTCCGCGCCGCACCGGGCACCTCCGCACGCCCGCCCGTGCACAGGGCTACAAACCGCCCCGGCGAGCGCCCCGCGAACCGGGGGCCGCTCCCCGCGGGGGAAGAGTTAAGATGCACATTTTGCGTCAGATGCTCTCGAGGGCTCGCGGCGCTCGGGGAGGTTAAATCGCGCCGCCACATGTGCCCGAGCAGGTTGTTTGCAAAGGTCAGCCCGCCGGGCTGCCGCGGCGAGCGCCTCTCCGCGCTTCTTGGCTCGCTCCGCAAGGTATGTAGGCTGGGAGACATCCCGGGGCTCCGCCGGGACCGGCTCTCGCTGCCGCTGYGGAAGGTGCAGAGACGATGAGATTAGGATTTTTTTTTTTTTCTATTTTATTTTTTTAATACTCTGTTTTTGTGGTGGTTTATTATTCTTTCCTCAAGCTAAAGCCACTTTGGGCTTTCTTCGACGTCTTTTTAGAACTTGCCGTTTGTTTCTTTATCTGTGCAAGATTCCTGTTGGGATTTACTCAGCATCCCCAAAGCCTGTGGAASTGCAGGGCAGGCAGCTGCTGCCAGTGGCTCAGCAGGTACCTCGCTAGCCACCAGCTGGTAAGGATCAGCAAAACGCAGGAAGATTTTGCACTGAAATTAAGAAAAAAAGGAAAGAGGAATAAAATTTTTTCCAACATCTCCCTGCTGCTCCCAGTGAAGTTACTGTGATAAACGAGCAGGGATTATTTATTAATTRTACAGGTTATTAAATGGATTAAGTCTTAATATTTATTCTAAATACTCTAAATATTTTAAATATTCTAAATATTCTAAAAGAGAGAAAAAAAACAAAGAGCATTTTTTGGTTTGCATCCTATTTGGGGAAGCGGATTTGACATGCGAAATGCCGAAATAAATGGTGCGCCCGGTTGGTTTGCTTGTTTTTCCCCTCTCTTTCAGAGCCAGGAGCAAGGCACGGGGAGCCGGCGCAGCCCGCGGCGGCTCCGCGTTCGAGCGGCGAGCGGCAGAGTGAGGCGGGCGCCGGGGCTGCCATGGGGCTGCTGCCCCTGCCGCTGTGCGTGGGCGCGCTGGCGTGCTGGCTGGCGCCGCGGCCGGG